GCATTGTCATGCACCTCTTTACCCGCATTGTCACGCACACTCTACTTGCATTGTCATGCACATCTTTACCTGCGTTGTCACGCACCTTTAGGTTGCATTGCCATGCACCTCTACTTGCGTTGTTGCGCACGTCTTACTTGCATTGTTATGCACTCCTCTACTTGCATTGTCGCGCACGTTTCACTTGCATTGTTATGCACCGTTTCACTTGCATTGTTATGCACACTTTACCCGCGCTGTCACGCATGTTTTGCTCACATTGTTATGTGCACACTCAGTTGCATTGTTATGCACTTTTCACTTGCATTGCTATGCATTTTTTACTTGCATTGCTATGCATGTTTCCATCGGCATCATATGTGCACGCGTTATCTTGTGTTGATATTGTATGTTGATATAGCGTTAAACATGTTCTCCTACTATATTGTACATGTTAAATCTCTCTTTTGGTGCAAGCATGATATTGTATGTATGGTTCATTTGAAATTGGTGAAACAGGACAATATTGTATGTATTAGTCTTCTCCGCGTGAGACGCATTGAGAATTGTATAATTTTCTTACATCCTTTCTGCATGAAATGTAGTTTGGTTCGTATTTACTTGCTCGCATAGCATTCGCTTAAACTATTGCATTTATTTTGCATAATTGCTTCATTATAGCTCTCTTTGCATGATCATAAGTTATGTTCGGCATTGTGCATGTCATTTGCATCTTGCCCCTGCCTGAAGGCGCATCTCTTTGTTATCTTGCCTGTTTGTCTAAGTCTTCGGCTTTGTCAAAAATTGGTCGTCTCTGGGCCTTGACATTCACTCCCGTCACTTTTTGACTTCCGAGTTCTGTCAAAGAGGGGCAACTGTAGACACCCTATTTTTGGCTGACCTTAAGACTCAGACATCATCGATTGAGCGCTCGGTGATAATGAATGTTTGTGCTCGTTTCGAGATTTTGGAGTTTTCGACTGAGTGCCTTGCCTCCGGGCCTCTGAACTTTTTGTGTTTTGGCTTGGTTTGTGGACCATGCCTTTTCTACCCTTTCTTGGAGGAGGGAGAGAGATCCGTAGACCACTTTTCCCTCCTAGAGACTAGTTTCCATTTTTCAGAGCCTTCGGCAGTGCGCCTTGTCTCAGGATCACTTAACGTTCTCAGTTTGGCCTGGTTTTCGAACCATGCCTTGTTGCCTTCTCCTAGAGGGATGCAGAGGTCTGGGAGACCACTTTTTGTGGTCGTAGACCACTTTCCCCTCGTAGACCGCTTTTGGTGCCCGTAGACTAGTTTTCGAGGCTTTCGGCTGCGCGCCTTGACCCCCGAACTTTTGTCTTTCATCCTTTTTGGTTTGTTTTTGGCATAAACCTTGTTTTCCTTGCTTGGAGGGTGGAATAAGGGTGGGAGACCAGTTTCTCTCCTTGAAAACCAATTTTCTTCCCGCCAGCCAATTTTCTGGTCGGCCAACTGGTCTTCTTGGTCTTTGGACCATCAAAAGTGGTCGGCCACCACACCATTGGCTTGCTTTCATTGTGCAGACCACCTCCCCCCACCTGCCGACCACTTTCTTTCCTGGCAGACCACTTCAAGTGGTCGGCAGCTTTCTAGCACCTTTCTGAAGATCTTTTCTTGCCAGCTGTGACAGCTAGAGGGCACAAAAACCATCCTCCATACACGTGTATAGGGGGATGGCTTGGAGGCTTAAGCTTGTTCAACAAGCTTAAACCTTGGTTCTCTACAAAAGAGAACCTCCCCCCTCTTGCCTTAGGTTCAGAATTTTGTGCTTGAGCTATAGATACACACCTATCACTATAGTTGCTCATTCTCTCTTGTTTTGTGCTTAAAAGTGTATTTTCATCATACTATTGCACACAAACACACACTCAAACACCATACTCTTGTTCCTGAGGCACTTTGGCTAGTTTTGGTGTTTTTGGACTAGTTTTGATCCAAGAAAGCTACTAGAGTTGTTGCTCTAAAGTGGTTCTACAAGGGTGAGCTTCTAACCTCTTAAACCCTTGTTTTTTATTAAGCTTTTGGACCTATTTTCATGCTTATTTTGGCTTGACTTTAAACTACAAAAAGTTCTAATTTTACATGCTTAACATGTTTGTTTAAGGTCTCTTTTGTGTTGGGGGTAATCTACCCCCTCTTAGACCTTGTTTGGCTTTGTTTTATACCATCCTTTTAAGCTATTGGGACCACCTTGTTTTGGCCTTCTCATCACTGAAACTCAGAGGAATTTCAGTGGTGGAAATGGTGTTTTGAGGTCCGAAATATGAGAGGGTAATCCCCTCTCCTTGTGTCTTGTTTACTTGCTTTGAATGCCTTATGTTTGAGCATGTTTGTTAAGCTTATGTTGGCCATATCTTAGCATGTATTTGGGGTTATTTTGGTATGGAACACCACTATTTTTACTTGGTTTTGTCATCCCTTGCATGGTTTATACACTTGTAGTGTGTTTCTCACAAACCAGTCTTGTATGCTTCATGAAGTAGCATGCCTTTCTAGCATGATTTGATTCGATTTTAGCATGTTTTGGGTGATGTTTTGCCATGTCATACCTTTGTTAAGGTTTGGTTTGGTTGGCCTTTGCATGCTCCTTGCACTTGTAGTGCAATTTCCTTTACTAGCCTAATGTGTATCATGCTTTAACATGTCATTCTAGCATACTTTTGGCTTAACTCTAAGAACCTTTTGTCCATGTTTTAGCATGCTCTAGCTTTGATTTGTGTTGTTTTGGTCATGCATGCATTGCTTTGTATAGCCATGGTTCATTCTAGCTTATTAGCTTTGAGTTTCCAAGTCACTAACATGCATTGCTTGGGCCATGTACATGATTTGGCACCATTCAACATGATATTTCAGAGCATATAGCATTGCCATACACTCACATTTGTCACTCTTTGAGCACCTTCGAGAGTTGTGTTCTTATGCTTAATTGATAGGCCAATGCACGTGCATGCATTTTCTTATTTTTTCATGCCATTGTTTCACCCTTTTGGCCACTGTTTTGGACCCTCTTAGGTCTGTCCATATGCGGTTTAAGTCCACTAAGTGTTGCATTACATGGTCTTTGCCATTGCATTGTTGTTTGCTTATTGTTGCATGACATTATTATTTGCATGTTGTCGCATGTTTATGATGTGTAGCATGTTGATTAGATAGCATGTTGTTGCATGCTTGATATATACCATGTTGTTGCATGCTTGTTCCATTGTATTGTTGTTGCATGCTTGAGTTGCATTGCATGGTGCTTGCATGCTCATGTTACATTACATTGTTTGCATGCCATTAGCTTTGTTAAGTTGTGCATGCATTGCATTGTGTTTGGTATGGGTGTTAAGCCAAACACGAGAAACGAGGGACGTTTATACTTGAAGTGATGAAACGTGCCTCAATTCTCGGTTGCCAACCCTCTTGATCATGCATGATAGAGGTTAAGGCATTTATGTGTTTTTGTGCATTTATTTGCCATTGACTTGTGCAACTCGGCCTCTTTGGCCATCATGCATCGAAATGCATGATTGATGGCTTGAGAGCCGAGCACTACACACCTTTGAGCCTTAGACATGATAAGGGGTGTAGTTGCACACACATTTTCTTGCAAATACATTGTCATGCCTCTGTTTGTGCTCTGTTGCAGCAAAAAGGAGAGTTTGCAGGAAGACATGGCCGATCGACTATCAATAATTGGCCGATAGCCTCAAAATTGGTTGATGACCTTTATTCTTTGTTCAATGGCCACTCCTCTTGGCCAATGACCTCTCAGCATGTCCATAAGGTGTATCAGAATTATCTTGGAAGTTGGCACAGTTTTCAGAAGTCTAAAACAGTGCAAATAGAGGCAATATTAGGCACGACAATGGATTTTCGAGCGAAGCCGACCGAGCACGCATCTCTTTATCGCCCGCGAGGCCATTTTTGAGGAAAAAAGATGGATGTTTGGGTTAAATTTTTGACTTTTTACGAAAAAATGTATATTAAAAATTTGTATAAATTAGTGTGTAGGAAAAGTTTTGACAGTATAGGTTGTACGGTACGGTGGTAGTAAGGTTTGCAGAGTGGTGTAACAGGAAATAGTTCTAACCTGTTTAGATC